AAAACAGGAATAAAGCTAAGTATAAAAGAAAGATGCTAATATAAATGGGGCGTTTATAATGATAGTTTTATGTTTAGGTTGATCACTGAAGTCAGCCATTTCATAGCAGAACAAGCCAACATAAGTGCTCGTGGGAACAGATACCCAGTGTCTGGATTTGCCAATTTCTGCTGTTTGCAAAGTCTTTCAGTCAATTTTACAAATTTCTTCTTTCAAGCTGTATCATGTTCAGGCATTGAAGAAGGCAGAATCAACTTGATTTACATTGCAGTTGCTGGCAAGACTGGTAGTTGATGATCTATGGCCTGCCAAAATCTTAAGAACCGATGCAGCACAATTCTTCCTTTCTGGATCTTTCAGCATGTATTACTGCATTATTTGGTCAGAAACTAATCCACATGTGAGATTTTCTACACACCTCCATAATGCTAATATGACAGTGGTTCCAGCTGCTTTATTATTGGCCATGCTTATTAGAAGAATCATCACCACATGGACTGTAAACATGCACTGTACTATAAAATGCTTACAATGAAAGGTGATAGACACTACAGTTTTTATGTAGGATGGTGCTCCTATGCATGTCGGCAACAAGGTAAAACACATCATACAAGAACACTTTCAGGACATAATTATGTCATGACCTTGAGAATGGACACCTTGTCTATTGGACCTACTACCATCCAATTTCTGATAGTGGGTTACCTGAAGTCATGCAGGTACCATTGGAAGACTCACAGAATTCCAGACCTCAGTGATGCAAATGTCTCAGGAGTGGCCAACATACCAAATTAAATGCATGTTGCTGTTGTAATGTTTATTGTCACATGGTGCAATGCATTGTGGATGCGAGAGGAGGAACAGATTTTAAACAACTGATGTGACTGATCACACATTATGTCATCATTGCATCTGGCAACATGTAACAACTATGATGGTTGCATCAATATGTTTCCTGTTTGTGAGATATGATTTGCTAAGTTGCCAAACTTTATTTGTAAGTACTCTATGCATAATATATACAACCCTCAATTTAAGAAAATATACATCTAATGGAACAGCAGCAATAAGGTCTGATTCCCTTCATCCCCTCTTTGACCTGGACGAAAGATCCTCTAACCCTATGGCTCCAGATGCCAGTTTTAAATTCCTTTCTGTGTATGTTACTGTGTTACATTCAAAGTTTAATTAAACCACTTTACTATCAATATACGTCAATGAAATTAAAATTATAATATATATGTTAAAATTTGAATTTTTATGTTATATAAGTTAAATTTTTTTGTTTCAATGGGAATCTTTCAAAAAATACTTAAATTGCATTTTTCGTCTCACGTGGTCAACATGCTTTGAAAAATCTCGAATTTTAGACTACATACGTTCTTGTCAAATTTCAAACAATTTCATCTTCTATTTTTATTTTTGGAACGAAATATAACAAGAATGACGTTAGGTACTTACAATTTTGGGACTTGGTAGCCATCAAGCTAAAGTGGAAGTATATTTCTAACTAGTTACCATGGTTCCTAATGATTTATTCAGCCAAGATAAAGGTTCACTTTTTCTTGGGAAGCTCAAGCCACAGTGAATGAACCTCCTAAAGCCAGGAAGATGGCTATTTCTTTGGCAGAAGCAGTCCTCTCTACAATTATTCGTCAACTAAGTTCATTTGGCAGCCATCTCTGGAAGTGTCATTTTAGTAACTGAACCTGCTTCACAATGAGGTTAATGATGATGGCAGATGATGTACTTATTGGCAGGTCATTCCTCATCTGTCAACATTTTCCTGAACAATATAGATGAAGATGTTCTACATTTTGCCTCTGTAGTGGTTTATGTTTGGCTGTCTGTCGAGGTAGTGATACCTTCTCTTACCCTCAATGACTTTGTCATTAAAGATGGTAGTGGTGTAGTTGGTGGCAAGGCCTTGACAGCCAGCATACTCCTGGCAATGGTGGTCTTTCTCCCAGCAGTAATGAAGCATATCAAAGTTTCTGCCATTGTCAATGGTGATCCTGGTTGACTGTTGGTAGAAGTCTCTAACATAGTGTTCCAGTGTTCAGCTACCCCTCAAAGGTACTGTAAATTCAGAAAGGTTTTCTATGGCATCAAGATATAGTGGTCCCATTGGACGTGAGCACATATTTAATGGTGTCTCCTTGTTGTAATGAAACTTCCTCCAACAGGACACCTGAGTAGAAGCTCCTGATTCCTCAATGACAACCTCTTTTCCTCTTTGCAAATATCATGCACAAATGCACATTATGCTTGATTCTACAACTGCAATACCACTGTTATGATTCCACTATCACTGACAATGGTATTCAACAAGAGGCATGGATATACCAACTTTGTGGCTTCTGATGCATGTTTCTGGGGCTGGAATGTTTGCTCACATTCTTCATTCCATCCAAATTGCTTTCAGTTTTGGTTAGAGCGGATAATGTTGTTGCAATCTCAAAGAAGTTGGCTACAAGTCGTTGATAGTATGATGCAAAACCTATGAAATTGAAGTCTTGTCTCTTGGTTACATTTTTAGGCCATTCTTGCATCACTACTATTTTAACAAGACCCATGGATATTACACTTCTAACCACAATATGACGAAACAAAGTCCACTTCTATTCACATGAAATCATGTTTTCGTGGTTTAATTTTGAAGCCTATTTTTTACCCATTGAAATACTATCTTCAGGTTTCAGCCACAGACTCAACTTGATACCAAACACCAATACAACATTAGCATAAATCAAGTACTCCTCCCATTACAATCCCTTCAGTGTTAGCTTCATTGGTCTCTTTAAAATGGTGAGCATATTACACAGGCCAAATGGCATGATACAAAACTCATAGAAGCCATCTCTTGTCCTGAAAGCAGCATTAGATCTGTTTCATCATCTAGCTTGTTTTAATCTAAAATGAATGCAGAACCTGGACATGCCATTATTTTTCCTGACAGTTACTAGTAGAGATTACCAAGAAATATTTGAATATTGTGTGGTCTTGCTCTTTATAATTAACTGAAACTCAGTGCTGGTTAGATACATAGTGCTTCAGGAAAGCATGCATTGTGGTTGTTTTATCAGATATGCATCATCTATATGTATATGATGTTGTGTGGCTATTATTTGATTAAATAGGCTACCTGGTCCTACAAATACATCAGTATATTTAGCCACTGCACCAAGTCTAGACTTTCTGCATAATTATCAGCTAGCAATCTCAGATGTGTTGAAAACCATCTACTCATTTTTAGGATGTGACAAGACAGAAGCAAACCTAGCATAACCACTAGCCTCAGTTACTTCCATTTCACTCATAGACCATTCCAACATGAAGATGGATAACCATAATTGCAAAAGACAACCAGTACTTCATCACTCTTTAAACATATAATTGCCCAAGCCAACTGCTTCCTTTTTGTAAAGGAACAGCTTATTTCATGCATGGGTTCTATAGCTGCTTTACACAGAACCAACACATTATGCTTTGTCTGTACTAAACCATGAAATACCACTTGAATACATGAGGGTATTGTGACTTCCTCTACTACACACACTCTGCAGTCCACTATTCTTGGATCTGGTCTAACTGGCATTGGATACTCTCCCATAGAATTTCAGTTCACCTGTTGCACAGGCAAAACTTGGTGAAATGTTCTGCTGTACATCTACCCTTTGATCTGTGAACAATGTCTTCTAGATATAGTCAGAGAGTCATGTGTCCATTCATGTTTATTCATCTTCTTCTCCAAAATGAATTTGTGTCAACTGATCCAAGTGGTGCTTTTGCTCAGAGTGTCCAATATACTACAAGATTTAAGTGTTCTAACCACTCCTGTCTCACACAGAAACTCTATCTCTCATCTTTGTACTGAGACAGGCATACTATAATACATCTAACCCTGAAAGGACTGGTGTCACCATTAAACCTTTTAGCTCAAGTTATTCATTATACCTTCTCAAATCATGTAAAACTGATTACCTGGAAAGCAATGGAATAGGTCCACTAAATAACAGGAGATTCAACAAATTATATATTTTGGAGTATTTTTGGGTTTTCTTACCTTGACTGAGTTTGTGAGAATGAACTAAAGGGTGTGGACAAATGTAAAATACAAATAAACAATCCTTATTAATATCACAAATACAATGTGTGTGTGTACTTGCATAGACATTGTCTATCACTTCTATTGGGTCTTAAGTTGATTACCTTCTTTGATATCGTGTACCAGACAATAAACTCTCGAGAATATAAATGTAACATTCTGTACTTTAAAGAATTAAACTATAATTGGATACACAAAAAGTAGCCTTATATGTATGATAAAGAAGTGGTGGATTAAATTCGTAAAATGAAGATCCTCATACTGGTTTAATAAATCTATTAAAATTAAAATGTTTAGAAATAAAAATCCAGTATATAAAAAACATCATTAAATATCTAGGACTAGCTGTTTGTTTGTATCTCCAAAAATGTTCAGTTTTCAAGTTAATTATGCATAATAAATATTTTTATGGCCTACTTGTATAATGATCTTCTATTGTAATAAAGTTTTGGTTTAAAGGATCATTCAGATTTTTCTTAGACCAGAGGCCGCTTACAACCATTGGTATACCTTAGATTTAGATGTATCATTGATGATTCTCGTTCAGATTTATCTTGTGACGCTCATTTCTTCTCCAGGTAGCCGTCTAAAATTTAACAGTGAAAGACTAGAGGGTTTGTTTGTTTGTTTGGAATTAAGCACAAAGCTACACTATGGGCTATCTGTGCTCTGTCCACCACGGGTATCGAAACCTAGTTTCTAGCGTTATAAGTTCACAGACATACTGCTGTGCCATTGGGGGGCAAGACTAGAGGGAAGACAGCTAGACAACACCACCCACTGCTAACTCTTGGACTATTCAGTTGTCAACGAATAGTGAGAGTGACCATAGCATTACAGCGCCCCCACAACTGAAAAGGCGAGCATGTTCGGTTACGGGTAATCTAGCCCGCGATCCACAGATTGCGAATCGAGCGCTGTAACTATCAGGCCATGCCAGGCCGATTAGGCATTAATGAACACAAACTACAGAAAATACTTACGCATATATGAAAAATACAAGTTTAATTAGATTATTTAAGTGAACTGGTTCTTAAGAAGATATATATATATGAAACCCCACCAGGCGGACCAGCTTTTTTATTTTTTGTGTGGTTAATTGGCGATTGTTTCTCAAAGTTACCGAAGTAAGTAATGCTCACTTGTAGAATACTGAACGATGGAACTTTTGTAACTTTGCGCTAAAATACTTGACGCTTCACTTGACTAATCGAAAAAAAGGTTTGTTTTGTTTTGAATTTCGCGCAAAGCTACATGAGGGTTATCTGCGCTAGCCGTCCCTAATTTAGCAGTGTAAGACTAGAGGGAAGGCAGCTAGTCATCACCACCTACCGCCAACTCTTGGGCTACTCTTTTACTAACGAATAGTGGGATTGACCGTAACGTTATAACGCCCCCACGACTGAAAGGGCGAGTATGTTTGGTGGGACGAGGATTCGAACCCGCGACCCTTAGGTTTGGAGTAGAGCGCCCTAACCACCTGGCCAACTTCTTTAGTTCATACACTTCTATAATAGGTAAACTAATTCATTGGTAAATAACTTGCTGTTTCAGTAAAACTATTTAACTAATTTTCTTAAATTTAACTAATCTGCTCTTTCCTTTTTAATACTTAAGCTCAATAAGAGGTTTCTGGAATAGGCCATTAAAGTTTATTTTCCTGTTGAATAACAAAACAAAAAAGAAGAAATATCCTGAATATTACAAAAAACAACTTCGATTTCTAAACAAGATACGATTCACATTTTGGCAACAATTTCGATCTGTTTACTTGACGAAAACAAACATCTGGCCCTTACCATTATAGATCCTTCCTGTTTAGCCATCACGAGGTTAAATTGCTGATGTGTCTATTTTAATCATCATGCACTTGATAACTACCGAACTTCTCCTTATGTGAAACTGCTCTGTCAGTGTATTCGTACTTATATACACTAACGCTAATGTTTTGTTGACCTGGAAACCTTTTTTTCATTTTAAAATGTCACTACTTAACAAAATAAGATAGTTCAATGGCATATTCAAAGCCAAATGTGAAACGTTTCACTCCATATATTATATACAGCACAGTACTTGACGTCATGGTTTGAGAGATATGGCGTTAAACAGTGGCGTGACACGTAGTTTCAAGGTCACGGTCTAAGCTACACAGTTAACACCCTCCTTCCTACTCACCTTCTAACACTAAAGTAATAGTATTGGAACTTTAAAATACATAAAGAAAAACAACGGTTTTTAGAGCATAGCGAAAAAAATCTTTAAAAATTTAAACCGACGTTATTATCTTTGGTCACGTTGTATGATTCAAATTCAATGACTTTGAGACTAATAATGACTGGAGACGGCTTGAATGGGTAATGGTGAAAAACTTTAGTATAACAGCAAATGTACAAAGTTTCGACAAGGTTTTGACAAAAACGTTGTACATTTGCTGTTATGTTAAACATATATTAAAGTTTTTCTTCATTACTCATTCAAGCCGTCTCCGGCCATTACACGTTGTATGATTTTAAAAAAATCAGCCGGATGTATTAGCAGTACTACAGTTATTTTTCTTTTTTACATACTTACATTACCGAATGGTGGAAACATTCTAAATATGTGTAATATCTAACACTTTTCTTGATCTATAGATGAAGCTAGTCTAATTTACCACAGAATTGCTCACTTTAAGTTAATTTTGTTTAGGCTAGATCATAACTGAGGTACTATGTTTCTTCTTTCGAATTTTCTTTATTTGAAAAAAAAAACTGTATTATAGTTTATTATTTCAATACAAGACCCACGGTGGTTAAGCGGCAAGTCTGAGAGCTCATGACGCTAAAAATCAGGTTTAGATACCCACAGAGGGCCCATTATATAGTTTTCTGCTTAACAAGAAATTCAATACAAAGATTTTTTTCTGTTTATTTTGTAGTAAAGCAAAAAACTACCCAATGGGTTATTTGTGTTGCACCCACCGCAAGTATTGAAACCCGAATTTTAGTGTTATAAACCCTCAGACTATTGAGAGGCAACACAAAGATAATAAAGAATATGATAAACTCTATACAAATATTTTTTTATAACTACAGGTTATGGACGTGGCTTTATCTACTGTGAAATAACGCATACACCCAGTTTATCATGTTATCGCAGAGAGTCATATTGTTTCTGCTTCTTCCGAAAACGTTTCAATGGATTGCCATTCCTTTGGCGGGTTGTACGTTGGTCCTATACGCCCAGACACCACTTTACTTAAGCCTTTTCAAGGATTTTATGAGGTCAAAGGACCAAAATGTATGTTTGGGCTCCTTTGCGGTCATATTATCTGCAATCAAAATGAAAATTGGCACAAATATATATTTTTTATGCAACCTGACATAAAAAAGTTGGATTTGCTCATTTTGAGGATCACAAGTATGACTCGTAAAGAAAATATAAAAAATTGATGATATTTCAGCTTCTTGTGGATCGGTTTTACGATACACGATTTCCTATGGATCGGTTTTATGAAATGCTGCTTCCTGCGGGTGGGTTTTACGAAACATGGATTCCTGTGGATCGATTTTACGAAATGCAGATTCCTGTGGATCGTTTATACGAAACGCAGCTTTTAGACTTCAAAAGAGTCCATTATCAAGCAATTCAAAATAGTTCCATGTTGACACCAAATTCTAACGTAGACCTAAATACTATGATATATTAATAATTATAGTTTAACAGCTAAACCCATCTAGTTTGGCTCGGGTTTAAGGTTGTTAATCAGTAACACATTACTCTTCTCGTCGTATCCTTTAGTGAAAATCTTAGATAAACTGAGATGTTGAACTACGTCACACACGCCTAGCACGTGGTCATGTAAAGTGGAGTTATTATCTGTCACTTAATTTGTATGTTATTTTACGTGAGTTTTTAGCCATCTGGTGATCAGATTTATACATGACATATTAATTTCTATTTTGTTCTGCTATGATGTGTTTTATTTTTTAAGTGGTCTGTATATTTTATTTATTTAATACAATAGTAAGATGGTAATTATGTATTTATGTAATTGTGTATAGGCGTTCTAAATTCTACCAGTAAAATACGGTAATACAAGTTCTTTCTAGCCCGTTTCTTAAGCATGTTATACGTTAACGAACTACATTAGTTTTATCGATTCTGTTCTGACGTTCGACACTCGAATCTTACAGTGTCACAACAGTGTCCTAGTGAGTGTATTGATCAGTTATATATACTACTGCACTGTAGCTTTGGAATGAATATAGTTAGACAAAATTTAAAACAATAAGACGATCTGAAGACTAACAAAGGTGAAAAGAACTTTTTGGAATACGTTCTTAAGATTCTAGCATACTGATTTGCTGCATACTCTAAACTATTTTGTTTGAATCGCATTCAACCATATATTTTTTCAGCAGATATTGTTGCTTTTACGCGTAAAAGAACCCAAATGAGTTAAAGATACACTCGTTTGAATTTTTTTATTTTTATTTTGGAATACAGTAAAGTGCAGTAAAGCCTAAACCTGAAATCCGGCATTAGTTATAAACGGTTTGTTTGCTTGAATGCAGAGATCATGACTGACTGATAAGGGTGTTTATTTGTAAGAATCAGAGCATCAAATTGGTGTTGAAGGAGGGATCCAGAAACGATCAAGGCTTCTCTTTGCTTTACAAAGTATTAAAGCATTTTAGTAAAATAGAAGCTAACTCTAATTTACTCACTTCCAGCAGGAGACGGATTAGGGGGGGGGGGGTATGGAAAACAATTAGACACGGTTCTTCTCTTATACGTGTCGATTCAATAAGCTCACAAATACAATCGTGACAATTGAAAGACAGTAAAAATAAAACTTGTAGATAAATTGTATCAGTGAGTTTACAAAAGGTTTTGAAGTATTTGAACTTTACAACAAACATAAACAAACACTCATTACCCAAACCTAGAAAATTTGTACTGGATTTGTTCTGAACATTAGCGAACTCAATAATGTTATTAACTGTATAAGAAATTAAATAACATCTAAAACGACAACAACCTTTAAAATACTTGGAATTACGAAATAATATATTATTGTTACATGGTTGTGAATATTCACTCATAAGTAATGAGACTGAGAAGAAAAGTATCAGAATCGAGGAAAACCAAAAATATAACCATTGGTTTGTTTATAATTCTGTCATTAAATAAGATCTTTCTGTGCTGCACATTTTGTAACCTCTAACCTACAATAAGGTTTTTTCAAGGTCAAGTTCTTTTTTTTGTCATAATAATTTAGATTTACGTTACCTGATTCATGATGGTCTGAAAGAATATATCTATATGTTTTCATTGGCTAATAATATTACATCGTTATGTTTTAACTTCATATATTAATAGTGTTGCGTCAGCGAGTCACATGACTACTGTGACGCAACGTTTCTAGAACTATCATGTACTTTGGCGAATGCTCTAGTATTTACTAGATAGGGTAGGCTGGTATAT